TCACATTGAAGAGGGCCGAAACCGTCTTATAGTATCCTTTCTCATCGAGAATGGGCTTTCCAGCTTCGTCTAGCTCCAGTTCGCCCAATCCTACCTTCACGAAGTCAAATCGCCTCGCGACACACGCCAAGACAATCCGGGCTTCCATGTTGGCAAGTTCAGATCCAGTGCAGCGTCTTGGCCCTCTCTCGTAGGGTCTCCACGCGCTATCTGGAATCTTGGACGCTTCGGGTCCGATCCATCGCTCTGGTCTAAAGTCATCTCTGGTTTCGCCGAATATAGCTGGGTCGCGCTGGATCACGCGTGCCACTGGACTCAAGATCAGACCGTCTACGACCAATTGCGTGCCGTCAGGAAGAGTCAGAGTTGTCCCCGATCCCCGAGGAGCCAGCCTAGCTGTAGTACCGGGAGGATATAGTCTCAAGGTCTCTTTGATAATGGCGTCGGTATCTACAGTTGAGGGTAAGCTTCGGGAGGCAATTGAACGCCAATGCAGCTTAGCAAGACTTACATGTGAGGCGGCTCATTAACTCTCCATTATTATGACCAAGAAGCTGGTTGATCACAGATGAGGGACTAGGGTCAGGACCGAATACTTCATCTAGCTCACTCTTAAGGGCCTTGAGTGCACCAGGGCTCTTGTGCAGCTCGTAAAATGCCCATTGCATCAGGATGCTTGTCGTGTCATGACCAGCGAACAAGAAACCTCGACAAGTATCACTGGTCTGCTGAAGTAACTGAGGCGTAAGTTTCTCGATTCCGTGCAGACTCAGGGCGGCAGCACTGCGAGATGCTGTTACGTCGCCGCGCATCAGTTTCGCATGCTCCTTCTTGATTGTCTCTTTGAGTATGCCGTCCAGCTTCTTATCGAGATGTCGTATCTCTCGTTCATTCTTAGTGAACCACTTTAGGAGCCAATGCTTCGTCTGATCCCGTTTGGTGTATGCTTGCTGAAGAGACCGGTACGTAGTCAATACAGAGCTTTGCTTGCCGTCAATCTGGGCGTTAAGATCCATGTCGAATGTTACGATACCTATCATGCACATGTCGCGTAAGTCCTGGGAAGTCGTTAGAGGATTTCGGGGCTTTGGACACACCAATCACGTCAAACGCCAGGTTGGTAGTGAGCTCATCGACGCACAACTCCTCTCCGGATGCAGCATACTTCTCAAGATGGTCAATGAAGTAACGTGACTTATCCAAGATGACCTTAACCAAGCTCAATAGGTGTTGAGGCTGAAAACCAGGAAGAATTCGCTTTCGCAAAGCTTTCCATTCTTCGCCCTTCCGACACTGGATGTTAACGAGATGCCACACTGAGAAACGTATGAAACGAGATGGGAACACCCACATCCAAGGTAACTAGCGAACGTGAGCCGACTAGAGGAGCAAGATCTTGCATGGCTGGATGCTTGGGTATACTCGTGCTGTACTGCTTTGAGGCCCTTGTGACTTGCTCAGCTACGCTGTTGTTGAGTATGAAGAGAATCACGAAGGGTTGCAGCGGTCGCCAGTCCACCAGCATGACCGGCGGATACCCGAGCTTTTGCGCTTGCTCATACAGTATGATATCTGGATGAGCGTCGCGTCAGTACGAATCATTCAACTTCATGCTTTCGAGCTCTATGCGAGCGCATAATGAAAGTCGTCGAGATCATTTACATCGGGAACGGGCAGTACGTACCAAAGGACCTTCTAGGATCTCCTCCAGCGGCAGCTTTCTCAATCCATGGCCAGTGCCCTCGCTTTTCGTCTGCAGGCTCCGGTTGAGGGAATTCAGCCAACAACTTCTTGTTGAACTCTTCAGGTCCTGCTTTTCGAAAGAGATAGAACCCTATTATTGGAACGAGGGCCAGGATCACAGTCGGCCAATGCAGTAAAAGCTGCTCGAGGGCCGACATCTTTACTGACTACGAAAGGAGTCCCAAGCAATGAGAAACGGGATCGGTAGGTCAGTGACCACGAATTTATTCGAATTATTAATGGCGAGTCTGTACAATCGCTGCTGGTATGAGCAGAGAAGGATACCGCAGCCTGCTAGCGGGCTGGGCGAAGTTGGCAACGAGTCGTTAGATTCAGATGGGTATCCAAGAGCCGAATACTGACAACCAATTGCCTAATGCAGCTTATGAATAATCGAGCCCCTCGGTCAGTTCCAATCCAGAAGTCCACCCTAGGTGAGATCACATAGGTATGCGAATAAAGTACAGTAATGGGTAGGCACATAGCTGCAGTGCCTGCGCGAATTTCCATCGTTGCTGTGAAAATTTTCACCCCAATTTGACATTCCAAGATGTCCCGTTGCCTCCGGTTTCTGAACCGGCAGCACCAACTAGATCTGACAACAGCACAGCGTGTAGCCATGCAACATATGGCAGTAGCCACAATGACAGGGGCGGGATGTCAACCACCCCCACTGATCAATCTTATCTGATCCGAAGATAGTGCCGACATCGCACTAGTGCTTGGGGGTGGCAGCCCCGGATTCGTTTTTTTCAAGTAAGCGCTGCCAATTGTGCATATCGTGCTTGGGCATCATCCTCCTCAGGCCCATTCACGGCGGGGCACGATGACGACGCTCACTGGTCGAGGGGGAATGACGAGTGGTGCGTGGAATCTTGCGAGCTACAGGAGAAATCGCCAAGCATAAGCTACTCACACATACCTATCGGGCTTGACTAAGTGTGCAAGAGGTCTGATCCGGAAAAAAAGAGCAAGACGCCAGGGTTCATACGTGCTCGTACTCAGAAGGGAATATTTCAATGCATATATGATCAGAGTTTCAGGTTCTTTCTCACGTTACTCATTCCGTTATGAGCACAAGAGCAGCTGGCAGTCGTGTCGCTCACAAAGACACCTGCTCATGAATGGATTTGCTGTGTGGAGTACGCCGTGGGGCAACAGTCGACGGTATGGAGAACCTGATACCGAGGCATCCCATGAGAGCGCGCGCGGCTGCTACGTACGAGTCAGCTCAGCTGCCCTGCATCCCGACGCACTCAAATACTCATGCTGTGCTCTTGTAAAGCAATCTTGTAATCATGTATTTACCTAGTGATGCGAGTGCATTATAATACAGTGCCTCGGCTAGCTAATTCTGACAATATGTCGGAACCTTGAAGTCTATTACATTGACAGGTTATCGTTGAAGACTATGGTGGCTAGCTATAACTATTCCTAAGGATGCGGGAGACTAGTATTACCTGGATATATCCGACTTGAGGAGACCGGACTACTCATCAATGTCCGTAGATTGCACTCAAAACTACGCAAACACCGCCACGATCGTTCGAAGATACATGCTTGCGCTCTCTACATCCTATGGACATAAATGGTTGCGCTGGACGATGACTACGAGCACATGGGCGGATTTAACACTCCAAAATTTGATGGAGGACGATGATCCTGACCTATCCTGTCATAATATGCATTCATGACCGCCAAAAAAGCCAAGGAGCCATCTATTATGAGTGGGTGAAGGACTCGTGAATGCAAGCAGGGCGGGAAACAGGCTCTTTTATAATTCCTACAGCAGTTCCCGGGCAGGTGAGATCCCAACTACGTGATACGAATCAACAAGGAGTCATAGCACTAAGCTAACATGAAGTTGATATATTTACGATGACTAGTCTCTACCAACAAGCATAGCCTCCGTGCTCCAGAGAATAACTAGCCTAGGTTTAGGGGCAAATATTGGGAATTCTGACGCTTTCCAACCGACCCGCAAGCGCAACGCATATATAGCTCTGTCTAAACACTTCATGAGCCTGAATGCATCAATAGACTCACACTGTATTAATTGCAAGCTTATTCAAAGTCCTAGGTGTAGGAATGCAACCAGAAGGCGAGACGCGCTGTCCAACGAATTAACCAAGTCGGCGCCGAGTGCAAATTCGGAAAATTATGGTAAACCATTAGACGTACTCTTGAACGTAAAAAGACTACGGACGCTTGTCGCGAGCAGCTAGGATAGGATATCGTCACCAGCCCTAATCTTGCCGTCTTGCAGCACAGATGTTTCATCTAAATATCGGATTTAGTGGACAGAGTGTTGTTAATCCAGTGCCGGTATTGATGATTAGACATGGATTGCACTCATGCTAGAAGAAGGCATGGTGAATGTTAAGTGTTTGACTATTTACTGATAGCAATGAAAAGGTATAGGGTTTACTGACAACCTTACAGAATATCTTCCATTTGCTACATTTATCGATGCTATATAGAGAAATCCAAATCCATCAAAGGGTTCAAGTGTTGACAATACTGATTAGGACAAAGTGTTGTTTTTTCATCACATCTAATAACGGGAAACCCATGGCGTGATATTCCTTGATAACGGCCACCAAGGCTTTTGCAGTAATAGACTCATGCGTGTAACTAAGCCACCAAGATAGATCGACGCGGTGTTTCGCGCATTATAACTATGCTTGGTACAGTTTCCTTCACCCCGTACGGACTTGGGACCGATTCGTACATGCTAGCTTTCACGGTAAAAAAGTTCTCTTTAAAAACTCTGGCAAAAAGTGATTCATGCTTCGAAGCCGCGGCTTGTGTAGGCTCTTTTCGCTGAGAGCCGCTTACAAGCAGCCGGCCATTTTCGGATGCGATTCCTGCAATCACAAGCAAATGTATACATGGATGTGATTGACTTATGTCAGAATGCGTAATGGATCATATCTTTCTGCTACTATCCGTTTGTGTTCATGTTGTGAAAGCAAAGCGCCACACCACTTACAAAATTAGAATTTAATGCTTTCATCTGACTATACCACAAATACCTAAGTCCTGTGCCTGTAAATGCCTGATTATTCAGATCAACACCCAAAGTGCGCCCATTTCATTCATTACTTTTTCTTTTTTCGATACCACCGATAAGTAAGTCTGAGTGCCTAGTAAATCGGTATAAGTGAGTCACGTAATCTAAATGGGTGACCTCAGACCCGCCAGGAAAGGATTCATAAATGCAAATTACGGCGGTGGAGATCATCCAGCTAGGAAAAAGCATCTTGGCGCAGTGGAAGCGTAAGTTACTCCGGTTACATTCGAATATCTGCAATAAAACTAACAATCATTCAGGCGCCGGGCTCATAACCCGGAGGTCGTCCGATCGAAACGGACAGATGCTAGCTTATCTTTTTTCTTCTCCTTTAATATCTGATCTATTTACTCCTAGCGACCTAAAGTTTCCTGCATCGTTAGGTACCTGCTCGGGTACATGGTTATGCATAAGTCATACCCGGGAAACGTGCATTTTTGGTTGCGACACCGGTATGTGTGTGTACCTACTCTAGTGACACAGGGGCTAGTCACGTGACGTAGACCTGATCTCGGCTCTTACGGTCACCCCAGGTCCGTCCCCAAGCATTCCAGTGAACAGCTGTGGGCCCTTCACGTCAGGCGCGCCAGGTCGCATCCCAGCTCGTGCGTTCAGTTCGACGAACATCTCCTGAGAAAGATGCGAAGCTCGCTGATGCCATTGCTCGATGTCCCAGAATGATGCCGCGGCAGTCGTTTTCCTCGCCGTCACGATTTGACAGCCCGAAGGTGCGGTCATCTTGTGACCAATGCGGTTTGGCCAAAGTGAAGTGTGACCGTGCCCGCCCCAGATGCCGTCGCTGCATCACGCTTGGTATTGAGTGTGCCTATGGAGTGTCTCGTCTGTCTGGCAGGCCATCACAACGTACTTTGCGTGCGAAACCCATGACCGATGCTGTAGGCTCGGTACCAGCTCGTGAAAGTAGAAGACTCTGGTCACCCGCGGGCCACGTAACTTGGTCCAACGAAGGAACCTCATTCGGGTTCCCGCAGCCGGCGGCTACCACGATGTCATCTAGGATCGATACTGACGGTGCACTCAATTTCTGTGAACACACTCAAGTCGATGCAGGTGTATTCGATTTTCCCTTAATCGCGGACTGGCCTCAACCTGAAGGACTTGATCCCTATCCCCAAGACCTTACCTCTTCCGGAGGGTCTACATCCAAAGCTGATGGCCGTGGTCAGCTTCAGGTTGAGAATTCTGCCAACAGTCACGTTAAATATACCCAGGGAGGCTACAGTTGCGCCCGCAAGTCGTACGAGATACTTGCAAGCCTGATTTGCCCTGCTCCTGATCTCCATGCGCCAGATACCAACCTAGATACAGTCACAGCACAGATGGACCAAGTACTCCACTTTAATAGGAAGGCTATCGATCGCCTAACTCAACTTCTGAGATGCACCTGCGCTAAGACTGGACATAGAATCGTGGTTCACGCCTCCATCATCTCTCGCATTTTGATGTGGTATCAGCAGGCGGCAGGATGGTCCTGCAGCAGCTTCTCAGACGCTCGAGCTTCCAGCCGAGTTGAAATGGCTGCCGACGAGCCTTCCTCGGCCGCCCTGCTGACAGGCTCTGATGCTCAACTTGACGGCCATGCGACCGAATCCCGGACACTATCTCAGACTACAGGCTTCATTGTCAGTCACGTGCCTGCGTCAATGGGTACCTTTGGGATTGAGGATCAGAAAATGCAGATGGCTATTAGGAATCATCTGGTCTCGAGTGAGCTGAGAAAAATGTCAAGCCTCATTGACCTGTTCAGTTCTTATTGTGCTGAGGACTCGTCTGTTAGTAGTGTGGCAGGTCTTTACGTCAATACTGTAGCTTGGATCCGGAGCGAGTACAACATGACCTTGAACGGTGTCAGAGCGAAGCATCGATCTTTGTCCGAAAAGTCAGATACTTAGGTAAACATGCAAGCGTGATATGGTTTCCGATGATTCTTGACAAGATGTCCCCAGTTTCGGATGTCATCGAGAGGGAACCTTCAACCCAGCACTAGCTCCGCGTTACTCAAGCCTTATACATTGGTATACGAGGACATTCGATGACTGGTAGAGTTCCTACAGAGATCTTACGGTGTCCTGTTTGGCCATGTCCAATTTGAATGGATCGGTAGTTTAGATACGCATAGGTACTAGGCAGGCGGCCAATGAGAATGGCTCTTCGGGAACCGATAGTTGGATCCTATTGGTTCGCTGGGTTTGGACAAGGGAAGCCCCGAACCTTCTTCAGAAATTCAAGTGTTCGACAGAAATACATGGTGCGCCCTTGACTATTCGGCTCAAGGTCTTGATGTATATATCTGAGGAAATTCCTCAATATCTCTCTATCAAGAGAGCATAAACACATAGTTCTCCGAACTTCTCTTGTCGTCCGATTAACTACAATGGTTAAGATCGCGATAGCCGGGGGGTTCAGGCGGTAAGTCACCCATCATGGGTAGCTATTGACAAAAGCTCATTACCCGAACTCTACAGAGGTAGCTCGAGAAGTCATTGATGTGCTTCTCGCCGCCAACACGCACGAGATCAAGGTCTTGACCAGAAAGGTTGGTATCGCTCGCGACACTGACCATCTATCATGCTGTGAAGCTCACTACGGCGCAGGACCCTGCTCGAGGTGGCAGCCAACAGCATGGTATTTCATTTTGTCAAGTCAAGTACGAAGACAAAGACGACCTTGTGGAGGCACTGAAAGGTACTCACACGGTTCTGTCATTTGTCCAGATCGCGCATGACCATGGAAGTCAGGCACAGAAGAACTTGATCGATGCCTCCATACTTGCTGGCGTAAAGCGCTTTGCTCCGAGTGAAGAGGGGAGGTAAGTGATTCTATGGCTCCCCATGGCGTACTAGAAAAGGGCGTCGTATTTAACGGACAGTCATACTTTAGCTGCGGACCCGTTGTGGCGCTGTGGGATGGCAAAGATGAGATCAAGAGGTATCTGAGGAAGGTCAACGAGCATGTTCAGGTCAGTATCCGAACAACTTCTTGTCCCTGTAGATGTCGCTTCTGCGTATCAAAGCTAAGGCATTGCATTGTAGGTCTTGGAGCATACGCTATTTCAACCCGGCTTATTCCTCGACTACCTCGCGACCCCGCACAAGACGTCCAAGCACTTGACACCACTGAATACATTTGTTGATCCTTTCAACCGGAGAGCCATTATTATCGACGGCTATGACCCGGTGATGACTTTCACAGCGGTTCAGGACATGGCTGCAGTGGTGGCCCGAGCAGTGGATTTCGAAGGTCAATGGCCAGCTGTTGGAGGCATCAGGGGCAATCGACTTCCAGTCTCACAGATCCTCGAGATTTGTGAGCGTGCCCGAGGTAAGGACTTCAATAAACTTTGGTTGGCGCCGCTGAGCACGATGTTTCTAAGTGGTCGTTTCGCGGTTGATACGGTCCGGCTCGAGGATCTCGAAGCCGGAAAGCTAAGTACATCGTGGATCCTGGAAGCTCGTCACCCTGCTGTTTCCCAAGAGGAAGCAGCAAACGCAATGAAGGGTGTGCTAATGAGCGTTCTCTTGAGCACTGTGAGAGGCGCTTGGGATGTATCCAATGAAAGGAATGAGATTTTGCCTGATCTGGAGTTTACCAAAATTGAGGATTCCCTGATTAGAACATTTGGCAATTCTTCATAATCCCTCAAAGTATACAGTCACGTAACTCTTCGGACTATTGTTTTGAATGAAAGAGAGCGAAGCTCGCCTGGCACTACTATTTACAATGGCAAAATCTCACCTTAAAAGTGGAAACATATGTGGCTGTTTCAAACTGATTTTGTTTTCGATGTGTCTGACCTTTTTTTTTTTTTCTCTCTTCAGAAATAGCTGTCATTGATACGTAAATGACTGGAGTGGACAACTATGTAGAATTGTCTTGGCAATACGAGACCGACCAAAGAAACAACCGCTCCAAAGGTACAAAAGAAATTACAATAATACCAATACTTGACGGGGATGGCCTGCACGATAAGAGAACAAGATATCTGTCATACGGACATACCGGTCAAGAAAGCGAAAACAGCCGACGGACCAAGTTGGCAACACAACGCGGACCCTTTGATGTATTTGACTGCTCAACCTCTTCTGAGTCGATTTTAGTCACGATCTGATCGATGACCCCGTGGAGCACGATTTCCAATACCGCCGCAATGGGCTGGCCTTCTGGGGCTTGTTTCTTGCGCATGCCCTTCTCCTCCAAGTAGGTCGAGGTAATGGCCTCACCCTCACTCGACCAGAAATCCCGGAACGCGCAGACTACGGATTCAAGTTCACCGAAAAGCTCGGACAAGGCAGGCAGCTTCTTTCCGGGAAACACAATGGCCCAGATGGACAGCCACTGCAGTTCCTTAGGCATCCAGGGCTGGTTGCACCCGATAAGCTGTTGCATCTGTCCCAGGGAAATGCCATCGGGAGGGTTCCGCTCCTCTCGGCCACACGATCGACCGCGAATATGGTCATCGCAAGCCTCTATGCTTTGGAAGACTTGGCAGCATGTCGGACAGTAGTATGGCTGCCGATGTGCCGTCCACAGATGTCGCTTGAGGTCATTGATCTTACGAATGTCGGTGCGTGTGAGGCAGGATTGGTGGCTCTTCCTGTCATGGATGTAGAATGGACAAGGGAACTGGTTCCTGGTCGCCCACAATGGCTCGACAATGATGAAATCTTCGTCGTCCTCTTCGGGCTCTTGTCTCATGTCAATGTACCGCTCGAAGCAGGTCACTTTCAACCGCTTTCTGGCGGCCTCGGAGGGGGACCACTCTCTACTCCGCTTGGCGCCCTGGGGTGAAGGCGAAATTTTCGCAACGAAACTGTCCAGTGCGATTTTGATCAGGTCCTGAGACAGTTCCATGTATTCGTGATCGACTTTGTTGTTTGCTGGTTCTGGTGCTAGCGTGTCCAGAAGACACATGCCATCCTCTTCAGAGCTAGAATCCTCGACTGGCTCTTCACAGTGAAGATTTGAAGGTCTGTTGAGGATCCCTGGAGACGGTAATCTGGTTTGGTTCACGACTCCGCGAGGATGGATGCGAGAAATGCTGTAGAAAGAGGAGTTTGTTGTTTGCACTCTTCTATCCAGGCTATTGCTTTGAGCTGTGTCGGAATTGGGACCTGACTCAGGCTGCAAAACCGCACCAGCATTCGTCGTACTGTCGCGCCGAGAAGATCGATTGCGTACATTACGATGTTTTGTTTTGCCGGTCATCATAAAGCTACTCGACGGATGTATGAAGCAGGCATAGTAGGAAACCGGAAATTGCACAGTATCGAACGTCGCAACGACGATGCC